ATTTTTCGTACAAACTCTGATAGTATGTTCTATAAGCTAAAATAAAAAAATATATATAAACATAGGTCTTTAAATGCTTTCACCGTGTAAAAAGTGCAGTGTTTAAAATTTATGTTTAAAACATTTTTGCAAAATAAATATTAATAATAAAAGATATTTCAATTTTAAACGTTTTAGTTTAGTGTTTTAAATTCAAATACATAATGTTTTAATTATTGAAAAAATTTAAAACATCTTTAAATTTAAAAAAAAAAGGAGAAAAAAATAAAACATTTTAATGTCTTAAAATTAAACCTTTTTTTTAGTGTTATTAAAAAGTTACAACAAAAATATAAAATAAAAAACATTTTTATGTAAGTTTGAATTTCAAATTGCCATCTACTCATGTCAGTACAAGCTTGACATCGATGTAATTTTGAATTTATCATCTTTTTTTGCGAGGTTAAAGAAAATCTTCATAAAAAAATTATTTCCTCTGCTCTAGCAAGAAAAAAAATAAATTCAAAATTATCCAATCAAGTTTTTATTAAGGGATGGCAATTTAAATGCAAACTTACGTAAAATTTTATTTTTTACACGTTTTATATGTATTTTTCTTATAACTTTTTAATAAAGTGTTTATAAAGATCTATGCTTATGACATTTTTTTATTTCAGCTCTTAGAACATACTGCCAAAACGTACAGAAAATTGGGCACCCTGTACACTATTAGTTGTATTATATTGCAAGCTGCAACTTCGGTTTTTATGAACACACCCAAGAGACAAAACTCGCGAAGGGTAATCCAAGCGTCGTCCAGCGCGATGAAAGATTCAGGGTACTCTATTTCTTAATTATATTAGAAATTTAGCTCACGTTCTCTCGCGCGGGAAAGAAACTGACGCGGATGAAACTAAACTTCAAAAACCAATTTTCCCCGTCAATCAGAAATCGGAATCATGTCGATATCTTGTACCTTCCTCGCAGTAACGGTGAACATCGTTACCCTGAAACTTCCCGGAGGCGGAAAGGTACAATCGCGACGAGTGCCGTGCGACAACTGCGAACTAACTGCATTCAAAGCGAAGTCGAAGCATATATGTCCTCCTACGTTGAGAAAGCGGGAAACTAGACGGGGGCCGAGTCAGTGGCCGCGCGGACATTCTCGGTATGTGTCTATGAGAGAAAGAGGGAGAGGGAGAGAGAGAGAGAGAGAGAGAGAGAGAGAGAGAGAGAGAGAGAGAGAGAGAGAGGAACAGAGAGAGTAAAACTCACCATCAGCAACTTGACCTTGTTAACCAAAGGGGACGTTGTAAGGAACTTGTTGACGGCCGTCAATATTTTCCCTTCCAACGTGGCAGCGCTTCCGGCGTCTTGTCTTTGCGAGCATCCGGGCCCGATGTCCGCCCCCTCGCCGGGACTGGGCAACAACTTCCGGCAGTCGTCCGGCCAGAGATCCCTCTTCTTCAGCTCTTCCGGCGGGCCCTCGTGGCTCTGCTCTTCCGCTGCGCACCGCCGCACCCTCAACGATCGCGCTCAGCACGTGTCGGCATCAGAACCGGTGACCGGCTGGCCCGGGGGGCGACTTCTCGAGCTCTTAGGGCATCCAGCAGGATTCGTCACGTCTCGTTATCGGATGGAGACCTCCGTACAGAAACACCCGCTGATAAACTTTAGGCCGGCTAACCCCGTGCACCAACCTCCGTATCTCGCGGAAACTGCACGACTTCTCTGGATTCAACCGCACTTCGCGCGGTACCAAACAAAGCAAAACTGGTACCAGCGTTGATCAACTGTTTGTATTAATGGTAGTTTAATCAGCACGCCGAAGAATTTGTGCTCGCGCGTCGCTCTCGGATAATAGTTATCCGTAAGATTTATTACGCTAATACACGTGATGCGCGTGTAACGATGAAGCTTTTGTAAACGACTGTCGCTTTTTTCTCTTTATCTTCGGATATCCCTTGTCCGAGAGATCACGATGTCATAGTTTTAAACGATGAATTGTCGGTAGATTCCGATACAGAGTGACGATAATGTCGTGCATGCGACGTCAGTCGCGAGCTTCCGGGTAGCTCTCACTCCTAGAGGTCCCGACAGTGGCGCGTTCTCGACGTGGACTGAAGTCCGGAACGGTCCAACGGATGCTGCGACTCGCTCCAGAGGCCGAAGAACGCGCGAGCGCGCGAGAGGAACGCGGCGTGCGAGATATGGAAGGGGGGGAAGAAGAGAGAGCGATGGGGAGAGAGAGAGAGAGAGAGAGAGAGAAGAGAAAGAGAGAAAGAGAGGGTGGCGGATACGAGACGTGAGAGGGAGGATTCTCTCGTGGAAAATGGGGGAACGAGATCTTCTATCTCTCTCCCCCTTTCTCCCTTTCTCTCTTTTTCTGTCTTTCTATATCTTTATCCGTCTCTGTTCGACGAAGAAGGGATGCAAGAGTCGGTTTCAGGAGGGTTGTAGAGTCCTCTCAGGAGCTTGGAGATTCGGAGTTTCGACGCCACTAGTTGCTGGTAAACCTCACAGATTTTCGCGCCCAATGCGACTCCGGTTATTCTGACGTTTCGCATTTCCACATCCCCTTCTTCTGCCACTTTATTTTTTTCTTCTCTCCGTCTCTTTCCGTCTTCCCCATGATATACCCAATAGGTTTACACATGTTACAGGTTGACTAAGTCGATGGATGTTTTTGTAGATGTTATCGGTGAATTGGTACCCTCATGAATTTGTCATGCTTCAGAAAAAAAACGGTACCAGAAAAACGGTTCACAGGTAGATACCGCCGATGTTATTCCCGCGGGAAAACGAAAAACGTTAGAATGAATTTGATTTATCTAGATTGCCACACGATCTCGCGTTTGATTTTCAAATTGATAAACCGCTATGACCTTCGGGCATTGGTACGTGAAATTATTGATTAAATTCAATTGAATGGAGGTTTTTCGTTTCGCGAAGAGAAGCGAAGCACGAGAAATCGCCGTGAAATCGAAAGATTGAAAGATTTTGTGAAACTGTTACGCGAGCAATGTATTTTGTGCATACAGAAATAATCCATCGAGTTTTTATTCGCGAGAACGCATCAATTTGCCAAACACGTTTAAAATTGGCGTTTCCGATATGTCGCCAATCGATCATTAGTTCCGCTGTATGTGTTCCGAGAAAAAGAAATATAGCTCAATATATATTCTTTTTCCTCGAATTGATCCGCCCTGTCGGCTTCCTCCCTGTTAAGTCCTTTATCCTATCAGCCTAAAATAATCCTCGATTTGTAAATTTGTTGTTAAGGATGATATCCCTGTTAAAGTAGGCCGAACATTCCCATGAATTTAAAGGTTAAAGGAGCAATTAATGGCGACCGGCCGAAATCAAGCGTTATCGAACAGTCAGTTAAAGCTGGCAATGAACGCACTTCTACAGAAATCAACTTCCTTAGATAACCTCGAGGATATTACCTTCGTTAGCGACCAGTTATATTGGGTGTGCTGAAAATTAACCTAAGACCGATCGCAAGAAAACGTTAACTCTAGAACGCTATCGTACATTTGACATGCAAATGGTTTAAGACATAGTCTATTTTCAGTGGTCAGCAAGAAGCTATACTGCAGCTATAAAAAGAGCAGAATGACCATCACATACTGCACGTGTAAAAAAACCGATATGTGAATATGAGAAAAAACTCTGTACTTTGAATGATGCGATGATGCATAGAATAAAATATGCAATTGTATACTACAGTGTTTAAAAGACATTGGACTATACACATTAATTATTTCAAGATTGAATTTGACAGTCTACTCTTTCTTTCTTTTTTAGTTAATAATTAAATTATTTATGTTTATAAAAGTCTAAATTCTAAATATTTTGTCATCGGCCTTACATTGATATACGCGGTTTTTCATAAACTTTTTGGTCTATTTCACTTAATATTGTTTTTGACATAATTACTCGTATGGCATGTTTCTGACACGCTAACATTATATCTCAATTTTTATTGTTCTCTTTGATGATTTACGTTTAATAAAAATTGATAATATTCTATATCTTTAGATAAAGATAAATAAAAAAATAAATAATTTTAAATTGAAATAATTTACATAATAATAATGCGTTTAAATAGCATTCATACGTTTAGCAAATTTATAAGATGGAAGTATTTTAGATACCCCACGAGATAAAATAAAGGGTTAAGAATGTGAAATGTATAAAAATATTGTGTTACATTAATTAGGAGCGACTTCTTCAAGCATAAAATTTACGTATCAAGCAACACTGCATCATTTAATATCGTTCTAGGGTTGAATGAAATGAATTGAAAATTCAAACTGATATGAAGCTCGCATTCCCTGGGACATCATATAAATTATGAACCATTTATATGTGATTATTATTAATTATTATCATATAAATTATTTGCGCGATAAGTGAAAATCCAGTACGGCGAATCTACGTTTTGGCAGGGTTCTTGTAATTTCCAAGTGTCTAAAAGCTTTTGTATGTGAGAATATTTCTTTGTTTCCATCATCGCGTCCTGTCCGTATTTACCGCAACACTCACGTGGGCGGTCGTCATTATTCGTATTGGCATTGTTTTCTAACACGCGGGCCGCTTTTATCAACGACGTCGTGGCTATATCGGCACAGTGCACACGTCTCGTTTCTTTCGAGAAATCTCGCACCCGCGTCAAATCACGTTTAATGTCAAGAATGGCTCAGCTCTCGACCGCTCTTCAACAATGGCCGGTTGACCTTCCTCGCCGTGCTTGCACAACTTCCTTCGCAAATTCATCGCGGAAAAATCGCGACGCGCTAACGACCAGCTAATTCGCGCAGTATACGGTTTTTGCGAATCTCTTGTCGCTAATGACACACTTTGCTGATTAGCCTTATCCAAATAATTTTCTCTACGAAAAGCACAATTCAAGCCGCAATATAAGAAACGCGATAGAATTTTCTGCGACAGAAAGAAAGAATGAATTTTTTTTAATTAATTGCGCAAACAAAATTTGTTTTAAATTATTATTGTTTAATAAAATAGTTTTTGAAGATTCAAATTTAAAGTTACAATATCGCTATGTTAATAGAAAGATGATCCAAGTATAAAAATTAGGATTTTTTTAATAATGAAAAGAAATAATGTATTTTTATAAAAAAAATTAATTTGCTTATATGGAAAAGTATGGATTACAACTGTAATAAAGGATACAATTTACACTATATTCGAGTTGTAATGTTTGAATTTCGAAAACTCATGATATAGTTTTAAACAATATATTATAATTAAAAGATTATTTGGAACAAACATTCATAGCGTTACGAAATTTAAGCAGCTGTAACTTCATTAAAAATGAACGAAATTTACAATTAAGAAAAAGATTTTAAAGTTTAAAATCTCTACTTTTGAAAGGTCACTATATATCTTTTGAATTTTTTTTAAGTTTGATAATTTTTACATATAGAAAATTACAAGCTGAACAAAATGGGGATTTTTTTCTAATTTTGTGGACCTGTTTTAGTGCGCAAAAAAAAACTTCAAAATTTTCAACTTTCCATGATATAAAAGCTTAAATTTTTCGCTACAAAATCATTTTTTTTTAAATAATATTTTTTTTTAAATAATCCTAAGATTTTTTGTTACTGAATTATCGCGGATTAAAAAAAAGCATTTTGACTTTGCTCATATCTCCGTTAAAAATCATCGTATCGCAATTAAAAAAAAAACAAGTTTTTAAATCTGAAACTTTGCTCTATTGAATTATTATCAACATTTATTTTTTTTAAACTCGTCGACATGATACAAATGAAAAAGCTACAAACTTTTTAATTTAAAAAAGGGCTTTAATTCATGAAAAAAAGTAAAGTAGAAATTGCATATTCACTATCCTAATTAAAATATTATTTCAATTTCAAATTTTAGAAATGTCCAAAATGTCCAAATGACCGGACATGTACCTATGTTCGGACACTTACGCAAAATTTGTTATTATTAATCTTAAATGCTTTTTTTATTACAGTATTGTAATTTAGTTGTACTTAAATATTACAATTGAAGGGATCGGCGGAATAAAGGCACAATTCTACTTAGGTAGAAGATGGTAGAAGGTAGAAGGTAGGTACAAGATGTTGTATAATTAGGTCTTTATTCCGTATATTCCCTCAATTAAATTATAATATTACATTTTAAAAAGTATTTGAGATTAACAATAATTTAAATATATAAAGTTATGCGTAAATGTTCAAATACAAATATATATCCGGTCATAGGAATGTCTACCTTACGTTCCCAACTCTCAGAATTGAAGAAATATTGCTGATATTTCTTGCTACTGAAAAATTGG